ACACACACAATCACACACGACCACAGACAAACAAACACACAAAGACACACACAGAAAACATAAAGATAAACACACACACACACAAAGACACACACACACACTTGCTGAAACACACACACACACATGAAGACACACACACACACAGGCACACAGCCACTCAGGCACCTACGCACCCACGCACCCACACATCCACGCACCCACGCACGCACGCGCGCAAGCACGCAGGCACGCACGCACGCACGCGCACCACGCGCACACGCGCGCGGGTTCGCAGCACATCCGGAAACCGAACCACTTGCACGGCCGCACGCACTCCGAGGACTTTCACGGGGTTTGACCATTAGCAACTGATCGGTTTGATGTCTTCACTTTGCTCGCAGAACCATCTGCGGACTTTCTGGAGCTTGATCTTCGAACACCGTCTTTAGAGAGAGAGAAAAACAACACAAGAGAACAAGAGCAAAAGAGGAAAGCACATGAGGAAATAGAAAGGATAAAAAACAGAAAAAGAGACAACACAAAAAAAACACCGAAAAAACAGAGAAAACTAGACGAGAAAAAGAGAAACATAGAGAACGTCAAAAACAGAAACATAAAGAAGGTAAACAGAGGAACAAATCAACGCGAGAGACAGAGAGAAAGATAAGCAGAAAAAACAAAGGAGAAAAAGAAGGGGAGACGCAGCGCGCTCCACGCTACAGTCCTTTCAGGACTGAACAATTCCCCGCCCCCACAAACTCTGCCGGTAAAGCCTAACAAATTCCTGGGGGCGGGGGTATTTGGGGGTGTTTCGCCCGAAGGTACAGGATTGTTTCCAAAACGGAGCACTTCCGATCACAAGGTTTGTCGATCCAGTTGGCCAGAGTTTTATCGACTTTTCAGCTGGGAAGAGGACGTGTTTCTTTCTGGGCACCGGGTGCCAGCAAAACCAAGCCTTTGCTTTGATAGCAAAGGCGCGTGAAGGAAGGCGCGCTGGGTTGGTGGGTTGGTGCTTGTTCTCCCGCTCGCCCGCTCCGCTCCTGGTTCTCAATGTCTCGCTCTTGCTCCTTCAGCAGCTCCGGCAGCGTGTAGTCGTCCAGCGCCGTTTTGCCGCCTTCGCCCAGCCCAAAGGCTGGAAAGCGAGCAACGCGGGGTGCGGCAACCGAGCCCAAGCGTTCGAACCAAGCAGCCAAGTTCAAGGGAAACCTGGGGTAAAGCCGTTGGGCCAAAGAGAGAATGAGGAATATGTCTTGCCGTTGTGGCCTCTTGGGGTCAGGTTCGACATTGTGGGTGGATGTCATCTAGTACCTGGCGTTTCTTGAAAGTAGCTTTTTTGGTTGTTTGTTGAAGGGAAACCAAAGGGCTACCACCACCACTCTTTGAACTAGATGTGTACCAGGGCTTGTAACAGGCCTCACTCTTGAAGGGTCCGACAAACAACTCGCTGTCAAGTTTTGGAGGGGGGGCCTCCCTCCCGCCTTTTCAGTCTGCAAGATCAAAACAGACTGGGTCGGTCAACCTTCGGTTTACCCAGAGATTTTCTCGGGGCGTGCGGTCGGCGCAGTTCGAACAGGGACCAACCGGCGGTTACGAGTCGGTCGTTGACGCTCTGAAGATCGGAGCCGTTCCATGCGGGAACTGGCGCTGTGATACCACTGCCGATGGCAGTTCCCTTGGAAAATCCAACCTCATTCCCAACCCAGTTCCATGTTCATAGTGTGTCTGGATGGTTGACCTCGCGGCTGAATCAGCGGGCGAAACCTCCAAGTGATCCGGCCCAGCCTTTTTGGTTGGTTGGTTTTAAGGGGAGACACAAACAAACCCTTCCTGAACAACACAAAACGCATCATGACATGAAAGTGCACTTAGGGGAACTCCTTTGGAGCACTTGGCTCCGAGTCAGACCCGAGTCCAAGCCGCCGTACTTGTCCAGCCCCATCTTGTCCTTGATGGGCCGGGACACTCCGTCCTTGGAGTGCACTTCCTGGAAAAAGCGAAACGCGAAACGCGACATGGCCATGGGGGGCGGGGGGGGGGGGGAAGGTTCGGGAAAACTGAACAACTAGTAACCACAGAAAACTACCAACAACACAAACTCAACAGCAACACAGAAGGTATGCAACATATCAGACATGAGAAGTCAATTTGGCTTGTGTATATTTTCTGTGCTGCTTCTTCGGCTGGAAAAGACCCAAGACTTCCATCGAGGTCGGAAATGGAGCCCAAGAGTCCTTTGGCCATGGATGAGACCGGCGAATCGGACAGAATTTCTATGAGAAGCACCCTGCCTCATGGACGAAACATCGAGTCCAGGGATCCCCATAGTTTGAACCAAAAAAGCCATAACCCCACCCAAATGACTCGCGTGGCATGTGCTTTCCCATGAAGCTTGAAACAACGCCCTGCAACCATCAGCACCAAACTCACTTATGACGGCCATGGAGGTTGAAATCGTCCCGAATGCCGGAGCCCTGCATGCAAAAGGGTAAGCATCCGTCTTTGCCAAAGATCATAGAGCAGG